TTCATAGATACTATTTTGACTTTATAGATATCTTTAATTGACTTTTTGGATTAAAAACGTAGTCAACAAGTTGGCCATGTGCCACACATGTTGTTGGCTTGAAGACCAAGCTAACTATATAGCCCACACATAGAAAAACTTGTCTTGTAAGTCAAGGCATGTGTCCTACAAAGTCAATACATATTGGAGGTCCTATAGAATGTTGCCACGTAGTCCCTAGTTAGATAGTACATATAGAGACAAAATTAAAGCCTTCTTCACTCTTGTCAATTCTTTTCTTATTTCTAATCTAGTTTCAAGGGTTTCTAACTTTCTTATCTTTTGACAATAGCCATTTCAGTTTCTTTCTTAATATACATATCAAGTTATTTTTATTTTGTCATCTTTCTTTGAGAGAAGTCTCACTTATTTATTTGTCTTTATCATGTTCTTATCTTTGACAATATAATAGCTTTCCACATAATATAGATGCCCAAATTCAACAATTGTATAGTAGTCAGTTAGATATATGTACATTTATTTGTCAAGAACCGCTTCAAAAGTTGGATTTGGTAATATTCAAAGTTTTCAGTTTGGATACTTACTTACATGTCGCTCAAAAAGCTTGTAAGAAAGTTTCTTCCTCAACAAGAAAAAATAGAACTTCTATTGGCAATTTCCTATCTCTTAATGGCTCAAGTGATTACCATGAATAAACACAAACATCTTTATTTTGATGCTTGAGAAGTAGTTGGAGGTATCCTAATATTTAATGTTACAACTTAGTCTTTGAAGGACCTATGCCAAGAGGCTATAGTTGAAGAGATGAGTTCATGGATAGTATGAAGAAACAAATTGTTGCTCAATTATAAGTGTAACTAATTAAAGATCTCAATTTGATAGCTAAGATAGAATTATAATTTGAATATGTGGGTAAATGTACATTTAGCTTTAGTTATAATAATATCTCTTTCATTGTAATATCCATGATTCTTGTATATTTGAGTCTAATTCTAATTGCATCTATTGTGGACATGTCAAATTTTAATAAATATGAAACACTAGAATATTTCTAGTTATGTAAAATATAGATACTAATGGATACACAAGCATCTTGGATTCATTATTTTATTGCTTGAGGATGTCTTTAATGTCAAATATTGATTTTATTGATTAGAATTGTAAATTAAATATGCTCAATAAGCACATATTATCTTATTTTAATGAATATGTTTTTATTTTTTGTGATGACTAATTTGATGAAGAAAAAAATTGATCTTATTTGTTTCATGTTATGAGAAAAAATTCACATTCTTATCAAAAAAAAAAATTAAAAATTAAAAATTAAAAATTGATACTAAACCACATGAATAAATAGAATTTCCATCAAGACCACTACTTCCATTTGTATTACTTCTTTGAAGACTTGTAATTTTAAAAATAAGTAATATGGTTGTGTTATGTGTTTTATAATAATTGAAATAATTTATCGAGACCACCAGTGCTTCTAACATCACTTCTATCAAGACTTCTAACATCAGTGAAGAAATAAAGTAGTCATCTTATTTGTTGGATCTTGGCGAATTAATCTTTCCACTTTAATTCACCTTGCATGATAGATGGCTTTTGATTATTATGACAATGGCAAAGGATTCCAATTATTTTAAGTATTAAAGTAATCACCTTAATTCTCTTCTAAATTTTAATAGCTTGGTAGTATTTTTCTTTGAAATAATTAATATTTTAGATAGAATTAATTGATATCTTTTAATAGAAATAGAAATTATTATTGAAACAATAACAATACATATTCTATCCAAATCTCTAAAAATTGGTAGAGAATTAAAGTGGCTTTTTCAATATTTATAGATATTTATATCAAAATATAAATCATATTCTATATTATATGTGATTTGTATTTGTTTGTTGCAAGTAATAGAAGTTATGTGTAGTGATTGTTGTAAAGTACAAAATAATCATGTAGATTATTTTGTAGTTGGTGATTCTATATCTCACCATATTTGTCATCAATTAATTCGAATCAAGAAAAGTGAAGAAGAAAGCAATGGCAATGAAAGGTGCTACTCATGATATCAGAGATGATGGTGAAAAAAGTAACAAAGTAGAATATTTGATAGCTGATGATGATAAATTAAATAAGTTTACATATATTGGTGACAAAGATGAAGACTTTGTAATTAATGATGTTAAAAGAAAGAGACTTGGCGACTTTGAAGGTGGTGAAAGGAACTACCTTATTAATGTGTATAACAAGTTTTTTTCTTATAATTTAGATGAATTCCAACACCTTGGCCATGGAGCTAATTTTGATGCATCTACAAATTTAGATGTAAATTTGAATAATTACAAGTTTTTTTATGTACATGATCTATAATATGTAACATATAGATTGTACTATATGTTACATGGTGTATTGTAAGTTAAAAGAAATCTTCTTAAACTATAATTTTTTTATGCATTATACAAATAAGTCTTTTATTATATACATAAATGTATTGTATTTGTCATTGATTTAAATATATTCATATATATTTGGATTGAAATGTGGATTCATAATGATATTTGTTGCTTATCTAATTAAAGGACTATCATTTTATTGTAAATTAAAGAACTAGTTTACAAACATATGTAATTGAAGCAAGATAATAATATAGGATTATATTCAAATTAATTAGTTGCAAGGCATTGTAACAATCAAATAACCATCCATAGATGTTTGTTGGATTCTTGAGTATTTGTAATATCAATAATGTAAAATTCTAGCAAAGCCTTTCATCCAATCTAGCCACTGCTATTTATTATAATTCATGATGAATTGAAAGAAATTCTTTTGGTGATGCTATAAATATTGTAGTCTAAATATTAGAGAAGCCACTTTTAGTCCATTGATTCTACCAAAACCTTCATTTTTTGGTCAACTACAATATAATATTTATCATGAATTAATTTGATGTAAAAATCAACTAATAAAAATAAAAACATCTTCCATCATTGTATCTATTTTCACAATTTTTTCACAATGCTAAAGATATTACCAAATATTTTCCAATGATTTCAACTTCTTATGATACTTTATAGGTAGGATCTCAAGTTTTAAATAAAAATTCATTTAAAAATTTTGAAAGTTCCAAATTATAGAATATGATGTTCTAGAAGATAAATAATATTGAACTATGTTATTTAAACAAATCTACATATTATTGAAAACCTATCCTTAAGATACTCTTCTAAAAGAACATCCACCAAAATTACCATTTTTCTTTCCAATTTGATTAATGATTCAAATTATGAATAAAATTACTCCAAAATTAGCTTCAATATGTACTTGTACAATACATACTATAGTATTAAAAAAATTTGCAAATCATTAATTAATTATGACTTACAAAAAAAATCAATAAATCTAAATTAGAAATTTAATATAAAAATTAAAAATTAAAAAGATGATATAATTTTAAAAATTACTACATTTATTTATTTTTTGAAAAATTTCAAGATGTATTAATTTTTCAAGTTTTTCTTCAATATAGCTTCTAGATATTAATTTTTGGACAATTCTTCAAATATAATTTCATCTAGTATGTTGTATGTTTCAAAACTATTTACAATCATATGACTTATATGATGCATTCTAACATCAATGTAAACAATTGCTTCAACCACCTTACTTATACTAATAGTATGGCTAGACATGTTAGTAATTTATTTTCTATATGGACATGGAACTTAATTAGAAAGTTCTATTGTGACTTTAGATACTTTATTATGCCCTATTGGATCCTTAGGTGGAAACTTAAACTTAGGTTGTAAGAATATGGGGTGATGTTTCGTAGCACTCTCATTCTTATAAAATGATCAATGCAAAAGTAAGATCTTATATGTATTGATTACTCCAAGATCAAAAAAGAATAGTATTCTAATGAATAGTACACCTTTAGACCTCAACAATTCAACCTCTATAGTAAACAATAATCAAAGACCAAATTCCAACCAAAATATATAATTAAAATAAAAGCATTATTTATGTATCAAAATTTGAGCTATTTTTGGCAAGATCTTGCATATTAAACACATAATGACTTTTGGTTGGCATTAGCAAGAACATTGTAACAATCTCCTTCTGAATTCCAATATAAACCATCAACAAACTATCTTCTAAAAGTCAAAATTCGTCTTTAAAATCAACTAGTTTTGCATCCAAAATTGCTTCAAATATATATCTCATTTGCTTATTACTTGGAGTTGTAGTATTCAGCTATATTATTTTTTAAAAGAATACTTTCAATTTATTTTTAATTTAAATTAGAATTAAACAACCATAATGAAATGTAAATATAACATACAAATATTACTTCAAATATGATGGATAATAAAAGCAAGGCAAAGTTGGTAATTCAACTTGTTTCCAAATACCATATGCATTGTTAGGGCTATTTCACTTCCCGTAAGTCTATTGCAGCAATTTTTTTGAAAGTTCTCACAAGAACTTTTAATATAAAATTATGAAATTTGAATTCATAAATAATAAATCAAATGATTAATAATTTTAAATAATTTCTTCAAAATTATTTAATATTTTCAAAACAAGATGTTTAAAAAAATAATGATTTTGAAAAGAAATAATGATTTGATAATAGAATTGCCAATCCTCCTATGGTGATACAATATCATATTTACTCCCAACACATTGAATGTAAAGAATGTAATTTGAATAAGATTTTTTTTATATATAATAATAAACATATAAAGTATACTAATATTTAAGATTACATTATATCAATATCATTTTGCACATTTCATGTCAATATATCATTGTACTTATACATTTGACAAATGTTTTTTCATATTATTTTTTTTCTATATTCAAGTATTAAATATTGTAAATTTTTTCCAAACCAAGCAATTGTAAGCGTTACCAATTCATTTACCAAAATTTCCTTTACACCAATTTTTTAAAAAAGCCCTTACAATAAGGAAGAAAAGAAAGGAAAAAGGGCGTGTGACTATCACAAGAGCAGTGGTTTATAAAAATATTCAATTTAGCATTATTCCATCTATTAATTTTGTTTCAAAATGAATTGATTTAACTATTAAACTCCCATACCATGACTGAATGTTAAAAGAATTTAGTCACGCTCAACAGCCCAGCTGTCAAAATTCAGGACCTCACTGCACGGACGGCTTACTTGTCCCTGTCCCAATACCCCAGAGTTCCATGCCGTGACTTCAGTTTCCGCAGTTTTTCAGTTTCCGCTCCTCTGGAGTCTCCGCCCGAGCTGCTGTGAATCAATTTTCTTGGTCTAAGAGGTCGCGATTTATTCCGCATTGGAGCGCGATGGTGGTATTGGATGAACCTAATTCGTTGCGTATCTATTCAACTCTGATTTATGAGGGAAGTATGAGCGGATGCTCGGCATTTACGTGCAGTTGTCTGCTAATCCTTCTCTGGACATGGGTGATGCTGCTGTGTTTACACAGCATTCTCGGGGACTCTCGACGCTTTACACTAGCTCAGCAAACTTCCAAGGACCATTTGATTCCTCCACCATGAGCTTTGCGAAATCTTATGCGAAATCTCCAATATGTGCTTTTAGGTTGAAGTTGCTAGTTCTTGAGGTTTGAGTTGTCTCTTTGGGGTTAGATTGCGAGAAGCGAGGAGTTCATCATGAGGAGGTTTTCGATTGCAGCTTCAATCTGAGCGAGTTCTCGTTGACCTGCAAATGCAATTGCAATCATTTCACCATTTGTTCTCTTCTACGTGTCCAACTTCATAGAACAATTTTAATGGCTGGCTGGACAAGTTACCTTGTTGTTTTAGAGACACTGTTACTGCTCCCACATCCTCTAAAGTCTGGATCGTTCTTAACGTCATCAGTGCTTTCACTAGAAGAGTCGGAAGGGGCAGCTCCATGTACTCTGGGAGTTTCACCATGCCTGGGTCCCTTATCAAACTTAGAATTATCCTTACAAGCAATGTCCACCAAATATGTCAATGCAGCAAGCACAGGCGGGTGCCCACCTCCCGCCTTAAAACCAATTGATATTTTGAGGCAGCCGGCATTATCCCGTTTGAAGAGATACCAATTTCTAGCATCAGTTAGGACACCGTAACCCACCTCAGAGCTGCAACTCAAAGCAAGAGGAAAACAAAATAAGAACTGCCGCGCATTCCATGCTGTCCTTTTCTCCAAAAAAGTTCCAAAAACCAAGACAGTGACAGAAAATTCCATTGGTAGGATGAAAGGAGACAGAAGAAAGAAGAGAAAATAAGATCTTAAAGTGAGTCAACATAGAACCAGGATCAAATAGGCAGTAAAATGCTGTTTGTTAGAAAAGGGGTTCGTCAAAAAGGACTGATTATTGAGAGCTGGCAAAGGCAAAGTTGACTAAGCAAATAAAGGCTGAGCTCCAAGCCAACCTAGTCAAGAGGGAAGGTTACCGAAAAAATCAAGGGTTCAAAAACAGCTTACAGAGCCATGTACTCGTACAGCTGACTAATACAACGAATGAGCTTTTCACCATGAGCTGCCGTAATGCCAAGAACTTCGCACCTGCAATTAGGATCACCCTCTCCTGCAATTATTGGACCTCGGTCAGAATTCTTGCAAAAATGTGAGAATTGGAAAATACTATGAAAATATGGGATAGAGCCAGATAGGACCTGGTATGCAGGAGCATTCTGTCCAAGCTTTGTGGAGATGCCAAGGGTCACCTTGGTCAGGTCCCAGACCTCCATTCTTTACCTCTACGACCAAAGCATTCTTCTCCTGTATAGTAACTACGAAGTCTGCTCGAGGGTTCCTGATCATCAAATCGACTAATTTTGGACTAAATGTTGCATCCGATCCCGTTTTGTCTGCTTCGTCTTTTTTGTCTGCTTTGTCTGTTTCGTCTGTTTCGTCCGTTTTGTCTTTCTTCTTTTCAATGAAACTGAGTACGACCTGCGACTCAAAACGGAACGTTAGCTGTGGCTGCTTCTTCTCCATAAAGTGTTGCATTTCGGACATAATATTCGCGACGATAGTTCCCTCCATCTTAGCTGTCACTGAAGTTTTCCGAGTAGAAGACGTCACAGAGATCTCATACGCACGCTTCCTTTTATCTGCCCTCTTGAAAAATTCTTCAATCTCTCCCTTCACATCCCAATGCTCCACTTTAAGAGGATTATACATCCGTTCCTTGGTCGAGCAGCTTGGGTAAGAGCAAAGCCCTGAAGGGACATCCGGCACCACGACCTCCTGCACTACCCAGTCATGTTCTGTGCCTAAGTCTGCACACACAAAACCATGTATGACTGAAGCTTTTGTTAACATAGTTATGAATGTGAAGCGGCTGAAACACCCATCACACACGAGGGCAACTCTCTTAAGGTCTGCCATCGTGAATGGGCCTTGGGTGCATACATTTGACACGTTAGCGAAACTACAGTACTCTCTCAATGTCATGGAAAAAACAAATATAGAAGACCATTCTCTCTGTTATTTTTTCATGTGCGCACCTTCACACGCATTACCAAACCTAAAATGATCAAGCCAGATCCAAGGACAACCCTAGTGGAGAATAGCCTCTAAACAACCCATAATAAAGAGAGAACATTACCTATACCACCTAGTCTGACAATAGATAACCGGCAATGGGAACAATGCAGGTCAATGAAGTAGACCATCCAAGCTTGCGCTAACCCTATCCCAAACCCACTCCAATAACCATGAAATGCACCCTCGCTCAACAATCCAGCAGCCCCCGGGAACATGAAATCACAAAGATGATGAGGAGATGGGCCCTCAATGACGAGTGATAGAAGTGACCTCGTCCTTGCAGGAATTGCGCTATCTCATCTCGAAGTTGCGCTTCCTTGCTTCGTAGTTGTGCTTTCTCATCTCGAAGTTGCGCTTTCTCATCTCGAAGTTGCGCTTCCTTGCCTCGAAGTTGCTGTTTCTGCTGATCATCAGAGCATTTTTCGACCTGCTCTTCCACTTTTCGTATGCTCTCTTCCACTCCAGATATCTCCTCTTCCACTCTTCGTATGCACTCTTCCAGTCCTCGTATCTGCTCTTCCACGCTTCCTAGCTGCTCTTCCAAGTTTCCACCGGCGTCATCCATTCTCCTGCACAACCCAATGCAATAGACAACCAACGATCAGATTCCACTTCTTAGTGGATTCAAGAATGAAGGGTCCATAATATGGTGCCTGAAATCAGGTGGAGTGAGGACCTCCTAGAACCCGAACATGCGCCTTGGGAATACCTTCTCTTGCAATCCAGGGCCTCCATTGAAAGCACTCCAAACATGTTCAAACTATTTGCAAGACTAATGCGAAAATACACAAGTTAACTAGTCCATAAGCGCCAGAGACACTAAACACTAAAACCAACATGCACCCACCACAATTCGCTACTTCCGAAGCAAAACTCAGCGCAATCAAAACCTCTACCACATGACCTCACTCCGGAATTCTCGATGTTGAATTCTAGCAACTAAACCGGCATGAATCAAGATTTAGCTCGAATATATAGTAAACGCTGTCTAGACTGGGTGACACATGATTGCCGATTGTATGCAATCTATGAGCATCCTGTAAAGAAGTGCTGCCACCCTTCAGACATCGTAACGCAGTATGAATTACCTTTCTATGGATTATGATATATTTCGAAAATGCCCATGTTTGAAGCATCGTTGCAGGCAACAGGCTACAAATACTTCGTTTCGAATGTACAAACGCCTCATGCTCACAAAAGATGATTAGACATTTCATGGCGGTATTGAAATTACCAACTCGACCCCAAGTTGACATGTGACTAAAAATTGATTCATCCAGACATGAGCTATTCTGTATGTTGTTGGATTGTACCTGTTCCTGTTCTGAAAAAATTTAGTTGAGACTGCTGCACATACAATTGGGAGCTCTGCTCAATCTGGCAAAGTCTCAAAAGCAGGAACAAACTTATGTCTCGAGGTTTGAAAGTTTGAACATTATCCTAAAAAGCGGATAACTCTGACTTCGCAGTGAGTTCAATTCCTTCAGTGTCAGACAACCACTAACATCTCACCATATCGAGCATCATCTTCAACAGTAAACAAGTTTAGGTGTTTCGGTGAGTTCATATTGACATACCGGACACATCCTAGTTCCTCTCCAGCTTTTCTTACAACATGAGATGCAAACACGGCAGGAAACATACTCTGTTGGAAAGCTTTTCGGACGATGAGGTTCCACCTAATTCACCACTTGATAGTGAAAATCCCTCAACTCATGATAACATACACTACAATTTCGAGATCTAGCGAGGGGAGAACACTTTCGAAGGAACGGCTGTGGGACCTGGAAGTGAGAATAATCGACGACTACTCAAGTTAGATCTTAAAAGTTACACAATCCTCTCTAAAGCCATTCAAATTCAGCAGCGAGCCAGAACCAGCGTAAATCCTCTAGGCGTTGCTGTACAGGCCAATCATCATTTGCAACAGTTCTAGGTCATACACAGTTTCTCACTTCACCATACTTCAGACTCACAGACATCTGGACTATCGCTAATTCCCTTTCCTATAATGCTGATTACTGTCCTTTCATACTAGCTCATTCAATGTCCACTCATGAAGGTTCTAAAATTGCTAGGGATCAACAGATATTAAATTCGGAATCCTCATACTTCGTTCAATGCTGAATAGGCAATTCATGATACAATACTTTTGTTATTCAAATTTTCATGCATAAACTCAGTGACAAATATCCAAGAAAATCACAGTAATAATGAGACAGATCAATGGAGATTCTCCCAAGTGCTCATGTTCTCTAACCACGCTACATACCAAGCTACATGCAGCTAACCTCGTCATCACCTTCCTCTGCCCTGCGACAACTCCTCTGGATTTTGGAACCAGTAACTAGACTTGGACATCTCCTATTAAATCTAACTATAATTATTAGTTAATGACCATTTTGCCTCTTAAGCTTTTTTGCTCATTCTCTAGCTTTTCTTTTCTAGGAAAGTTCCTTGAAAGCCAATTCTAAATTTCTCCTAAAATAACATGTAATGAGGATTAATAACTTTGGAATTAGGTCAAATATCTCTTGACCATGGTAGGTTCTGTGGTAAGTCTCTACCTTGTCAACAATGCCCTTTACCAAATAAGAGCATCCACTAGAAATATTATTCACCAATCGTTTTGCCACTACCAACCATGATGTCAATTCTTCCCCAAGACTCAAAAAGATACAAAGACTAGTATATGGGACTAACTACTTTGCAATTCTATCCTAATCTTAGATGAAATATGGTTTTTTAATTTCAAATTTTGAATATTTTAAAGCCATTCATATGACCTTTATTAACTCTTAATATCACACATTTCTTTCAAGGTCATTTTCATGGCCTTTACTTGATGCTTTATAGTTTATGGCCAATGTTTTTTAAGTCATTATTTTATGATCCTTATTTTTGTATTTCAAAACCATTTACATGATTTGTACTTTGCATCTTCAAGGCCATATCAAAACTCTTACTTGACCTTTTCAAAACCATTTTGTGCCCATTTTTTTTGCAATTTTTTAAGACTACTCCATGATATCTATTCATTCATCTTTATGCTTTTTTATAATTTTTCAAGACAATTCCATCATCTCCTCTTATTTTTATTTTTATACTTTACAAATACTCATACTTTATTCTAAATTAGTACCAAATTCTAGTAAAAAGGACATTGGCAGTAGTAACAATAATAACATTTTGTAAAGAGGTAGCACATTTTGAATATTCAAAAATGTCAATCACAAATTTTGTATATGGTAGATCTTAGAGTATGTTCTAGAATAATCACAAAAAAGCAATTGCTTGCACTTAATGGAAAAAGGATAAATTTTGTTGTATGATTCTGATATCCATAACAAGAGGCAAATTCATGAAGCAACCAAACCCAACAACCTTATAGTTAAAGACTGCAATGTTGAAAATATTGCACTTGCATATCAATATCTAGCACTATGTCATAGGCCTTTGTTTCTTCAATAGGACCCTACTACACTCACTCCATAAACCAACATATCTTTACTATCTTCACAGATGTCCATAATTGTATGCTATTGTTAGACTTAGTTTTAGTTTAATGTTGTGTTTACTTCAATATTACCGAGCTTAGTGAAAAAACTGAAAATCATAGTTGAGATTACTTATTTGCTCTCTTTATCAAACTCAAATATTTTGTATGCTTGAAGTGAAGTTCTAACACTGCTTTGTGGTACTACTGCCAAATATACTCTCTACTAAAAGACTCTATTCTATGTGACTGAATGTTGTCTAGATTTTCTTTGATAATACTCATTCATAGTACACCAACAAGATGATCTATATGAAGAAAAATAAATTAAAAAAAAAAAAAAAAAAAAAATGATGGTTATTGTTGTTCTTGTTGTGTTCAAGCTTCAGTATATTAAAGTAATTGAATTAATAGAGGTGGGTTCAAACACGGGGAAAGACTTGTTATATGAATTGGGTCTATTAGTGTCACAATTGACTGTACTCTGGCTATCTGAAATCAATTATCAAACTACAAAACACCAAGGCTTACTACTTTCGTCTTGATTCAACACATAATCTATTCTACGACTATTAATTCAACAATACTTCTCTCAATCACAATTCTTCATAAGCAAATAATAAAAGCAAAGAAAACAAAGGAGTAGCACCAAGCTTATCTCGGCTTACGACTCTCTCAGTCTGGCTCTGATCTTTCTTTCCTCAACCTATTTATCCTACCAAAAAGATGATCTGTTGCCCAATGGATTCCAAAGGTTATGACTCTTTGAATTCTTAACCATTTATTCCACTAACAACCTATTGTTACCAACTAAATTGCCTAGCCATCAGTCTAATTCTCAAGGTTATCAATAACCAACAACTAACTTACCACAAAGTTTATTTGCCAATTCTATAGTTATGTATTTCAATACTTTGTACAATGTACATAAAGAAAAGAAAAGAAAAGAAAAAAGAAAAATAAATAAATAAATAAATAAATAAACTCCCCAAATCAATGTGGATTCTTCCTTCTCTACAACTAAGAGCTACACTAATCCTTAATTACATTCTAATGGGCTCCTAATTATCTATTAATAGTCCAATAATACTATAATTTTGGTATTAGCAGCAAACGTCACATAACTAAAAGCTCACTTGATTGTTTGTGATTTTTCACAAATATAGAAGTATAAAAAAATTTATTGAAATCCAAGAACATTAATTTCTAGGTGCCAATTCTAATTTACACTAACAATAAGAAGACTCATCATTTAAAGTTATTGATGGAAATAAAAATTTACATTAATTTTTTTATATACTTTTAGGATTTTGTTGCTCATTATGGATGCAGCTACTAAGGTTTGGCCTAGTGTATTGGTTTCTCAATTGTATTAGAGTATTGATTGCCATTCTTTACAAAATAGAAAATGAACTAGCATTTTTAGCCTAATGTACATATCATGTAGTGCTAATGAATACATGGACTTGACATGATTTTGTTAAGCTTTTAATGGATTTCAATGATTAGATTAAAATTACTTCATCATGATTATTTTCTCTTTATAATCCAAATTTTTTTTTATATATATATTTTTTTCTTGTGAAGCATCCATAGCAGGATTGTTCATGGTTGGTTGGCAAATTAAATTTTTAATTCCTTTCTAAGTACAAGAAATGAATTATGTTGGATATGAAGGAGTTGAAAATAGGATTGATGTTCATATAGTCTATTATCAAGAAGGCTTGAAAGCAAAAGATAGGAAAAGAAGAAGCTTAAATAAGAGGGAATTTGATGCAAATGTTATAGAAAAATCGAAGGCTTAGGTACTATTAGATTTCAATGAAATTTTTCTTCCTTTCAAATGTATTTGTCATTGACAATTTCAACATAGCAATCATGGATTCAATTAATGATTTTAAACAATTTATCAAACTTCAACATTTGAACAATTTATATATGAGCTCTATATGATATGACTTAATCATATGGCCAAAGTCTATCTACATATGTAGATCAAAAATCTCTCATTGGAACACATGGATACTCTCAAAGTGCAAGCTACAACTCAAGTAAGTTTTGAAGATTCCAAGTTAAGGAAGGCATTATTTTTAGATTGCTAATTTGTGATCACTCTCAACTATTCTTTGCAATGGTGTTTGTAATGTTAAGGTTGAACTCCCTAAAAGGCAAACTCACTTCATTTTTGCAACAAGTTGACATTGTGTTTCTTGTCCAAGAGTCTGTAATTGATGCAGTCATTGAGAGCAACTCCTGAAATCCACAAATGGCCTTGCTTAAAATCACTCAAGGAAGAAATCAGAGGAAAATACAATATTTTTATATAAATTCTTTAAAATATCATCAAGAATCCACAATGATTGCAGTCATCTACTTTGCCTTTGTTGGCTCTGTCTCCTTTGAGGCACAGACTGTGTTCAGTTTCAAAGTAAATGAAGTGCTTAGTGATGAAACTAAAAGTGAAGTAAAAGTAAAAGTGAGAAACAAAAAGATGTAGAACCTAGACTAGAGCACGATTCTGTGCAGGACACAACCCCTCATGGCCTAGCCATTTTGTTCTCAAAGCGTGCCAACGTTGACATGTCAGCATAGAGGGGCGTGCTGACAAAACAATGTGAAAGGGAGCATATCGCTGCGGATTCAAGAGCGACCATCATTTGACTCTATTGAAACAAGGTGCTCACAAGAAGAAAATTCATTTGAAGGCTAATGAATACCCAAGACTATGCTTTCATTACAACACATAAAGAACTGGAATGAGACCCTACGTCTTTCAGTCACGTCCGGGCCGTTTTCTTGAACAAGATAGATGAAAGTTGCTAGAACAGGTGCTTACTTTACACTTAAAAGGACAGAATGGAAGGATATCATGCAGCATTTTTTCCTTTCCCGCTACTTCATCATGTGTGCCAAGAGGTATTCTAAGCGCACGCGCTCTGCCTCCTGTAACTTCTTGCTGCTGGTAACACGCGAAAATCCAAAATCCAGGATGCGGACGGGAGGCTGTTTTCCCCGCACTACCATAATATTACGTGCCTCAATATCTCCATGAAGCAACCCGCATGCATGGACTGCATCAAGCGCATCAAGTGCAGCAGTCTCCACCTCCTGGGTCACTGCTACTGAAAAATAATCACCACACGAGCAAATAAATGACTACTCCACCAGAAGATTGCAGTTACTCACAGATACTGGCCCTTCAAGAAGCACTTAATAAAATCACCATGCTCAGGCTATGAGAAACCCTTTAGATCAGAATATAGAGAGTAGCAAGCTCCACATTGGATAGTTTCGCAAGCAATCCTACCTTCTCCAAGTTCAACGCCATCAATCAATTCAGTGGCGACAAATACAGCCTGGCCGTTACATGTAGTTCCATATTCTATTAATCGAGGAACAAAAATCCCCCAAAGCTTCTTCATCTTCTGATAGGCAACTACCTCCTTCAGAAGAGCCTGCACAAGCACGGCAAAAACATGGGCTGGACAGAATAAGATCACAAACAGGTAAGGTGTCGCAAACTGCACGTGCCCTTCCACACCAACATGCTTCACGTGCATCTAGCTAAGACTCCCTGCCACTAAAGATGTCGCAAACAGGACCTCTCAAACTCAGCCCCCTATTAGACCAAGTAATAGTAACTTTGAGTTCTGAACGCAACATTTCTACATAACACAACTCTGGCTCACCTCCGCACGTTCCGTGTTTAAGTAGGCAAACTTCAATGCAACAGCCTGTCCATACATACGGCCAATAGCAACGCATCCACTCCACCCCTCACAACTTATGATACCGCCCGTTACTTTCAGGTTCAGGTCCACAGCAGAGACATCTTTCAAAGTCAACTGGTTCCCATCTGAGCAAGTTCTCGTTGACCTGCAAATGCAATTGCAATCATTTCACCATTTGTTCTCTTCTACGTGTCCAACTTCATAGAACAATTTTAATGGCTGGCTGGACAAGTTACCTTGTTGTTTTAGAGACACTGTTACTGCTCCCACATCCTCTAAAGTCTGGATCGTTCTTAACGTCATCAGTGCTTTCACTAGAAGAGTCGGAAGGGGCAGCTCCATGTACTCTGGGAGTTTCACCATGCCTGGGTCCCTTATCAAACTTAGAATTATCCTTACAAGCAATGTCCACCAAATATGTCAATGCAGCAAGCACAGGCGGGTGCCCACCTCCCGCCTTAAAACCAATTGATATTTTGAGGCAGCCGGCATTATCCCGTTTGAAGAGATACCAATTTCTAGCATCAGTTAGGACACCGTAACCCACCTCAGAGCTGCAACTCAAAGCAAGAGGAAAACAAAATAAGAACTGCCGCGCATTCCATGCTGTCCTTTTCTCCAAAAAAGTTCCAAAAACCAAGACAGTGACAGAAAATTCCATTGGTAGGATGAAAGGAGACAGAAGAAAGAAGAGAAAATAAGATCTTAAAGTGAGTCAACATAGAACCAGGATCAAATAGGCAGTAAAATGCTGTTTGTTAGAAAAGGGGTTCGTCAAAAAGGACTGATTATTGAGAGCTGGCAAAGGCAAAGTTGACTAAGCAAATAAAGGCTGAGCTCCAAGCCAACCTAGTCAAGAGGGAAGGTTACCGAAAAAATCAAGGGTTCAAAAACAGCTTACAGAGCCATGTACTCGTACAGCTGACTAATACAACGAATGAGCTTTTCACCATGAGCTGCCGTAATGCCAAGAACTTCGCACCTGCAATTAGGATCACCCTCTCCTGCAATTATTGGACCTCGGTCAGAATTCTTGCAAAAATGTGAGAATTGGAAAATACTATGAAAATATGGGATAGAGCCAGATAGGACCTGGTATGCAGGAGCATTCTGTCCAAGCTTTGTGGAGATGCCAAGGGTCACCTTGGTCAGGTCCCAGACCTCCATTCTTTACCTCTACGACCAAAGCATTCTTCTCCTGTATAGTAACTACGAAGTCTGCTCGAGGGTTCCTGATCATCAAATCGACTAATTTTGGACTAAATGTTGCATCCGATCCCGTTTTGTCTGCTTCGTCTTTTTTGTCTGCTTTGTCTGTTTCGTCTGTTTCGTCCGTTTTGTCTTTCTTCTTTTCAATGAAACTGAGTACGACCTGCGACTCAAAACGGAACGTTAGCTGTGGCTGCTTCTTCTCCATAAAGTGTTGCATTTCGGACATAATATTCGCGACGATAGTTCCCTCCATCTTAGCTGTCACTGAAGTTTTCCGAGTAGAAGACGTCACAGAGATCTCATACGCACGCTTCCTTTTATCTGCCCTCTTGAAAAATTCTTCAATCTCTCCCTTCACATCCCAATGCTCCACTTTAAGAGGATTATACATCCGTTCCTTGGTCGAGCAGCTTGGGTAAGAGCAAAGCCCTGAAGGGACATCCGGCACCACGACCTCCTGCACTACCCAGTCATGTTCTGTGCCTAAGTCTGCACACACAAAACCATGTATGACTGAAGCTTTTGTTAACATAGTTATGAATGTGAAGCGGCTGAAACACCCATCACACACGAGGGCAACTCTCTTAAGGTCTGCCATCGTGAATGGGCCTTGGGTGCATACATTTGACACGTTAGCGAAACTACAGTACTCTCTCAATGTCATGGAAAAAACAAATATAGAAGACCATTCTCTCTGTTATTTTTTCATGTGCGCACCTTCACACGCATTACCAAACCTAAAATGATCAAGCCAGATCCAAGGACAACCCTAGTGGAGAATAGCCTCTAAACAACCCATAATAAAGAGAGAACATTACCTATACCACCTAGTCTGACAATAGATAACCGGCAATGGGAACAATGCAGGTCAATGAAGTAGACCATCCAAGCTTGCGCTAACCCTATCCCAAACCCACTCCAATAACCATGAAATGCACCCTCGCTCAACAATCCAGCAGCCCCCGGGAACATGAAATCACAAAGATGATGAGGAGATGGGCCCTCAATGACGAGTGATAGAAGTGACCTCGTCCTTGCAGGAATTGCGCTATCTCATCTCGAAGTTGCGCTTCCTTGCTTCGTAGTTGTGCTTTCTCATCTCGAAGTTGCGCTTTCTCATCTCGAAGTTGCGCTTCCTTGCCTCGAAGTTGCTGTTTCTGCTGATCATCAGAGCATTTTTCGACCTGCTCTTCCACTTTTCGTATGCTCTCTTCCACTCCAGATATCTCCTCTTCCACTCTTCGTATGCACTCTTCCAGTCCTCGTATCTGCTCTTCCACGCTTCCTAGCTGCTCTTCCAAGTTTCCACTGGCGTCATCCATTCTCCTGCACAACCCAATGCAATAGACAACCAACGATCAGATTCCACTTCTTAGTGGATTCAAGAATGAAGGGTCCATAATATGGTGCCTGAAATCAGGTGGAGTGAGGACCTCCTAGAACCCGAACATGCGCCTTGGGAATACCTTCTCTTGCAATCCAGGGCCTCCATC